CGGTGGCTCCGCCGCCCTCCAGCCCCGGGAGCTGCCCCGGCGGTGGGAAACAGCCGTAGGTGTAACGTGCCGGTAGCTTTTTAGTCCAGAATTGCGTTTGGTTAATCGTTCTATTGAGTTTACAGTTTATGAGGGTTCCCCGGGGTGATGGTGCATGAGGACCGGCGGGTACCATTGCCAAGCACTGCTGAGGCAGCCAACACCGGTACCGGAGGGTTAACAGGGGCAGCCCCGCGGGCCGGCGGGTTCTCATCTCCTCAGCACACTGCAGATCGCAGCCTAAAGTGGATTTCACATTTCTTCGGGAAGAACCTCTTGTGCACTGTGATTTTCTTTCACTATGCACAGTGAAAGCAAAAGGTGTTTTATTCGGAAGCCAGAGGCAGAAGGAGAAGGATGTTTATTTACATCCTGACGTTGCTATAAGATTGAGAGGTTTTGCCCCATCCAAACAATAAAGCGTTCATAGCTTCCAATGTCAGATGTTAAACAATCTGATAGGTTTCACTAAATCAAATTCTGCTCTGTCACATCAGGGAAGTCTGGAGTAACTCCATTACCTTCAGGTGTAGCATGGGCCATAAAAGTAATTATTTCTCTTTGTAGTTCTGAAAATGCGCTTGCGGGTGGGGGCAGCTTTAGGCAGGTAAGGCCTGGCTTTCGGGCGCACCGCATTGCCCTGAAGTGGTGTTACAGCTGTGTTGTGGGAGAGAGCTCTGGACCTCAGCTCAGACATCTTCCCTGCGCCTCTGCTGTGTGACATGCTGTATCAGGCATGCTTCACTGCAAAGAAGCGCCCTCTCCTCCTCACTATTGGATCCCTTCTTGTATCTGTCTGTGCTGGGACTTACATTGTTCTTGAGATCTGAGCGTTCTTGAAGAGCCAGGGAAAACGGGGAAACTGTTAATTGTTCAGGAAAGAACAGGCTTTTTGGAAAGATGAAAAGGCACATATTACTAAATTGTGGTGGCAGGTCTGAAGGTTGCCCGTGAGTCCTTGAACAATAAAACTAGCAGATGAGGGAACTTCCTTAAAGTTTTTCAGCTGAGCATAAACTGAAATAATGGCATAAAGTCAAAGAGAGAAAAGGAGGAAGAGTCTCTGTACAGGGAGCCAGATCCTTTTTGTAATTTATCCTAGGAGGCGGTTTAAAATCTGTTAAAAATCTAGGCTCAGCCTCTGAAAAGAAGAAGGAAAATGAATTTTGGTGTCACTGTCCATAGTGCACAGCTACTTCGGCATGTGGAGTCAAAAATCACCCCTTTTAAAGCCCATACAGGTTTGCAATTGCAGAGCTAATCTACCCCTGTCACCTGGAGGACTTTTTCAGTGTTATTGTTTCCCAGTGCTGCATGTCATCCCTGATGAATTTGGACTGTTTTCATCTAACTCTGGTATCTTCCATTTTTTACACTAAATCTCATCTTATTTACTCAGGTATTCTTAAATTCTTAAATGTATGTTTTTGGTGGTTTGTTTTGTTTAGCCCCCCACCCCTTTTTTTTTTTTTTTTTTTGCTTGCTACTGTTTCCCTGTTTAGCGTTGTCTTCCCATTTAATTAGTTCATCGTTAAAAGATAGATGTCAAATTATCCCAGGCACCGCCCTTCCACTTAATATTATTGCCACTTTCATAACCCTACAGCTTTCAATTAATTTTCAAAACACGTCAAAGTCCTTAGATCCAAGCAGATCTGAATTAATTTTTCAAGTGAAATTTTCTGAGGCACTGTATCAAATGGTCTAATAAGGTCCAGATACATCAGCTGCGTTTCTGGTTCAAACTGCTTTACCCTGTCTTTTGTGGTCTGAGTTTTCTTATCTGATGTGTATCTGCCTTGAGGTCAACTGAAACTCCACTTAATAAGTATATGAAAGTCGCATTGGGAAACCTTCCTGTAATTCTGGCATGAAAACTACACAGAATAGATGGCAAAGTTGAACATAACTGAAAAAAATAATAAAAATAAAAATGCTAAATGTGAAATGAGGATGAAATTTATATTTTTTAATAAAACTAAGAATGAGAAAAACTGGTGTGTAGTCACAGAAACTTCTTTGCTCATAATTACCCCTGTGAACACAATGCTGTATTACTAGATCCCGCACAAGCAAGGTTATCTTGTGCCGTGTGGTCCCTAGAGAACACTATTTAACAGAAAACGTAAGCCATGTGGACACCACGGCTGGTGAGATGCTGCTATTTTTCTACAGAAGGGTGTAACTCCTTTTACCTCTCTGTATCTAGTGGCAGTTGAGGGTTCTGTCCTTACCCTTTTGCTAGCACAGGAAATCGTGTGATGACGCAGCAAGTCAGTTCATGGAGATGCTCCAACTGAACCCTATTTACATTTTACGTTTTTATTACTTTTTCTGCTGGATCAGCTCGGAGAAGTGGGTCGCTGCCTGGGTGCCTGAGGTCTGCAGCCAGTGCAAGGAAAAATGCCGGTGGCTGTGGTCAGGAGAGGAAATGAGGCTGGGACCGAGGCGACGGTGATTTATGTACTTACCTCACTGTGGAACAAAACCATTAATGATTTCAGCCCTTTTGTCTTAGTCCAGCATCGTGCCATGTATACAATGGAGTATCGTGGTCCAGAGCAAGGCTGGAAGCCTGCTGCGACAGCCTGAAGAGCAAGCTGCACTCCTGCATCCTCTGCCAGCCTTATCTGTGCAGGATAGTGCTCAGCTGCAGCTCTCCGGGGGTGCACAGGTTCACTGGGCAGGGTGTGCGGCTGTGCAACACGCGCTCCTCCTCCCTGCGACATGGTGCTACCCTGGCTCCTCGGGCCAGCAGAGCGCCCAGCCTGGAGTTGAAGGTGGCTTCTTGGCTGGATTCCTCTGGCAACTGCATCTGTGATTCTTCACGAGCGGAGGAGTTGGACCATGAGTACTAGAAGCCATCTTCGTGTTGAATTTGAAGGCTTCCTAGGCTGGGATTGAAGAGAAGAGAAAGTTCTTCAGGTTTCTGGAAGAGTTACTGTGTTAAGATCCAGGTGTATTCTCTGCTTTAGTCACTTTCATTACAATGACCATTTGTTCTTTGGATTGTCAGCTTGTAGGGAGCATTCTTTAGTGGGAAATATGTATTAGTTATTGTAAAAAAAAGACCCTGAAATGCAACTGA